GCATTAGCTACTGATGTTTATTGGATTCTGTATACTCACTAGAGCAGAGATAGGGACTACTGCAGCTTCTGAATAGAGTTCTTCAATTGCTTTGTTTTCATATATTTCTTCATTCATTTCTAAAGTCATCAGTGTATTAGATATGCCATCATTTGTTGGTAGTAAGGGATTCAGTGAGCCTACTAGCTCTTGCTCTCCATATACATCATTAGTAACTACATCACATTAAATGACACAATAAAACTGAAACGTCAACAGTACACAAATACACACTCACTTTCATAAGAATAGCTTCGTCCTTTTGAGTTTATACAAAGACCATGTTTTGTGTTGGCATAACAATTATCTCCGTATGTTGGATTATTATAGGCACTGTCTCTCTCTTGGGAGACAGAATCAATCCCTCTACTCTTCTTTCTCTTTATACGGCAAGCAGTAATAACAACTAACAATGACACAACTAGTCCAATAGCCACTAGTAATATCAATGATGACACTGCACCAATGATGATTGTCATTGACCCACTAGTGTTGCTTGCAGGGTTGCCTATGACATTTGATGATGAAGTTGACAGTAAAGTATCATCTGTTGTTGTCATAAATGACACACTATCACTACTACTAGTACTAGCAGTACTAGTGGTAGTAGTACTACTAGTAATGGCATTATTAGTTTGAGTGCTTGTAGGTGTTTGAGTCTCTGATGAATTCACCATTGCTTGAGATGATCCAATAGCAATGGTCGATTGAGAGACAACGTTTAAAGTCTGTGAGTGGGAAGATGGTGAAGGAAAGGATTGAGTTGAAGACAGAGAACTCATAGTACTTGACAACTGAACGAAACGAGACGAAAATAACTCATAACTTACTGACATAATAGAAATTGCTGGGCTACTTTTTGCCATTATACTTGATGTGGTTACAACTGGAACAGTGCTAACACCTAAAAATGTAGATATTTCTAAACAAAAAACTAATGGCTTACTTATCTTCACAGTGACTAATGGAAAGTCATTGTTAACTGTTATAAGTGAATGAGAGGGACCTATTGCTGATGGAGGAGAGTTTAGGCTATCACTAATTCGTAGGTTGGTTGGTCCACTCTCTCTCTGTTCATATAAAGCTAAACTACTTGCATTATTAACGTCAGCATAAGCACCAAATATGTCTCCTTCCTGGAACTGCAGTGGAGTCTGAGGAATAAACTCATAGAGATTAGCATTAGTACCAATCATTGTATTAGCATTAACTAAACTAGATCCTATTTTAGTGTAATTATTGGGACCCAGTTGACGCCATATTTGGAGCTCAGGTTTATATAAACTGCCACGACTGTTACCTCCAAAGATCCATTTAGTAACTGATCCATTACATGAAAATACAATCCATGGATAAATGAATTGGTGTTGCCGATAGAAGCCTTGTGATCTTTGTACTTCAAGTGCTTTCTCTTTAATAAATGAAGCATTGATTGAATTGACACTATTAACACAGTATCCATCTAATGATAGTAAAATAATTCAATGATATAGTGAGTGTGTGTCTTACCTGTTACTGGATATACTAGTATTAACTGGTTATTAATGGAATCATTCAAATTAACAGTTAAAGACCCAATCGATATATTTTGACTGCTACTAAATCTGAGTCCACTGATATAGTAGATTCTAACCACACTGGCCTCTAGGAGTGGCTGTGATACAGCTAACAGGTCTCCACTCATTACTGGTATAGGAGGATTGAGTGGATATTCAAACACTCCACTAGTACTGACATTAGAGGTAGAATAATAAATAGTTCTCTCACTACCAGTCACTAGACTACCATTAGGTCTAAAGACCTGGACACTGGGATAGAGATTACGACTATTAGTAGCTCTCCTTATATTAATACCCAATATAAGACTGGTTATATTAGTGGATGAACAATTGAACTGATACTCCTGAAGGACTCGTAGTGTATTATTACTGGCATAGTATTCAGGGAGATTCATTCCTATTCTCTGTGCTCTGTATTTTACTAGTGGTAGCTCCATAAATCTCTCTGTACATTGCTCAGTATCTAGGCATCAAACATTAGATGGTAAACTAGATCTATCTAATACCTTTTGACAGAGAGAGAAGAAACAGCAGTATCAATCCACACAGCATCTTTACACTTCCCTGACTTTCTTTCTTATTGTGGGAACAATTATAAGCATGTATCGGTAGTAAGTAATACAATATAACAGTTTAGACAAGATTCTGCTAACATAAACAATGCAGAATTGACAATAGTAAATTAAATAGATACCACTATCTCTTTTATATAGCCTTGTGGAGGCAAATTTCATAATATAAAAATCTACATTAAAAATTAAAATGAAATTGGTATTAAAAAGCAAAACCACAAAAGGTATTATACACATAAAAATACAACAATCATCAGATTATACATTATTGGTATAAA